ACATGGCACTGTGGGCCCAGGGAACTCATCTGTATTTTCTTGAAAGCAATGGGTATTGTTTTAGTGGGAGGAGGTCTAATCAAGGTTGTATTTTTCAAAGGTTGTCCTTGCCACATGAGAGGGATAGGAGATGACTGTGTAGTCTAGCAGAGAGTGATGACCCCTGGCATGAGGAAGTGGAAGTGGCAAGATATGGACACATCATTTGATTTAGGAGATAAACCTGACAAGAATCTGATACAAAGTGAGCGAGTGGAAGATGTTCAGGGCTGGAACTCAGTATTATGGCTCCTGAACCAGTAAGTACTCTTTCTACTGTCCACGCTCCACCTCTATAAGAATCATCTTCCAAAGCAAACAAACAAAGAAACTCATTGCCATAGAGTCAATTCCAACTCATAGGAGGATTTAAATGAGTCATTGGCTCTTATCTATAGAACCTTAAAGAGGAGTTTTAAAGAAACAACACAAATACATTAAAAAGTCTTAAGATCATTGGGAATGCTCTAGAAGGTTTGTAAACCAGGAAGTAACATGATTATATTTATATTTTAAACCTTCTGCTTCTTATGTGGGGATGGACTGAAAGAGAGAGAGTAGAAACAGTGGGACCAGCTTGGGGGTCTATATTATTTATCCAGTGATAGATGATTGTGTTAGGCATGTAGGAAATAAAAAATAATGATATTTGGGGAAAGATTGGAAGGTGCAACTCACAGAACATGCTGGTGAAATGAATGGTGAGTCCTGAGGGAAATCACAAAATCAAAGAGGACTCCAAGGTTTTTGGCCAGATTAACACAGGAGCCAGTAGAACTGAGATGGGGAAGCCTGGGGCAGCAGTGATTTGGAGGGTGTCTTAGTCATCTAGTGCTGCTATAACAGAAATACCACAAGTGGATGGCTTTAACAAAGAGAAGTTGGTTCTCTCATGGTCCAGTAGGCTACAAGTCCAAATTCAGGGCGTCGGTTCCAAGGGAACGCCTTCTCTGTTGGCTCTGGAGGAAGGTCCATGTCGTCAATCTTCCTTTGGTCTGGGAGCTTCTCTGTGCAGGAACCTCAGGTCCAAAGGATGTGCTTTGCTCCCAGCACTACCTTCTTGGTGGTATGAGGTTCCCATGTGGCTCTTTTATGTCTTAAAAGAGATTGGCTTAAGACTCTATCCAATCTTGTATACCTACCTCATCAGTATAACTGCCACTAATCCATCTTATTAGATCATAGTGATTGAATTTCCAACACATAAGGAAATCACATCAGATTACAAAATGGTACACAATTATACAATACTGGGCATCATGACCCAGCCAAGTTGACAGATATTTTGGGGTAACACAATTCAATCCTTGATGGAGGGGGACCCAGAAGTTCTGCTTGTGGCCATGTGAAGACAGAGGTGGCTTTTGGATACTCAAGCAGAGATGAAAGCAGCTCAAGCCACCAGTTTGGAGCCCAGGGAAGAGGTCAGAGAGAACCCACTGTCAGACAGAAGGCATGTAAGGAAAAGAGACCAGCTGGGATCACCCTGGGAGTGAATTTATTAGAGAAGAGCTTCAAGGTCAGAGTCCTGGAGCATACCAATATTCAGAGATCAGGGAAAAGATGAAGTTTCAGCAAATAAAGACTGAGAAGGAGAGACAAATAGGCACCAGAAAAATCAGGCCAGAGCTGTGTGTGCCAATCTTGGGAAACAAGGCATCAAGAGGGAGTGTCAAGTGTTGACAGAAAAGGCCTGTGAAGTCACCACTGGATTTGCCAGCACCGAGGTCATTGCTCCCTTTCAAAGGCACTCACTTGATCAATTGGTGCAGGAGGGCAAACGTCTGTTTGGAGTGGGTTCAGGACTGAATTGGAGGTGAGGAAAAAGACTGCAGGTGTGCACAAATCTGAAATCTTTTACTTCAAAAAGGAGCAAATTATAGGGTGGTTATTTTCACAGAAAACTTAATGCAAATATTTATATTCACAAAACAACAAAAATCATTCAATTAAACAAAATATATTAAATTCCACTCTGTGAGTAGCTCAGTTCTATTAAATAGGGAAAAGGTTGTGGGAAGACCCAAAATGCAGTAGATATAGCCTATCTCCATGAAGACGATAATCATCCTGACAGACCCGTGAAAATGACAAGTGCTGTAACCAAAGAGCATATGGTGTGGAGATCCAATACAAAGGAGACCTGGATTCAGGTTGGAGATGAGGGAAGATGTACGTGACCTCTGAGATAGGCTTGAAGGATGAAGAAGATTTTAATGAGCTTGTTCTGTTTATCAGTGAAAAAGTAGAAGTAAGGTTGAAAATTAAACAATCCAATAAAATCCTCCCATTTGTTAACAAGACAAATAAAGGTTTAGGGTAATCATTTACCTCCTTGGGATTATAAAATTGTAATAAACTGAGAGAGATTATGGGAGAGGAATGAGGACTCTGCACTTTCCCCTCAGGTTAGCTGGCATCTTTTCTCTTACTCTTCTGCTTCTGAGATGTGGGAATGGCTGTCTTTTCCCTCAGAGAGCAGCTAGCTGAATCTGCTGTTTTGCAATTGTGGGAGTGGGGAAAAGGACTCCTCTCTCCTGGGATAGTTGTGAAAAGTGAAAGAGTATGTCACCTTTTCCTAAAAGAAACAAGATCCCTACTATCCAGGGAATGAAATGCCTCCAACAAGATAGCTGCAGAGGGATTGTCTGAATAATCAGAAGGATCTGGAAGTGAATCACTATTTAAAAGTGTACTTCCGAAGTTTATGATTCATATATTGGACTTGTTTTGTGGGATTCATTAATTATAAAAAGTGCTGATCAAATCTCTGGTGAGACAATAAATGTAAATGTTGAATTCTGGCAGAGGAAGATTTTAATCAGGGCTGAAAGATCAAATTGATTAAAACAAATCAGGCCCCCTAAAATTTCCCTGACCTCTAAATGGGGAAAATAAAATAAAATAATTTGCAAATGCCTTTGGGAAGCAGGTAATGGGATGAAGAGTTTGGGGCAGACAACTTTTACTTGGGAGCTATGAATGAGAGCCCTGGGCTGTTTTTCTTACGGGAAAAAATTTTCGGTGTGGAGACCAGATAGAAATGACAGTTGAGCTATTAATAGCTTTGCCCAGCAATTTAAGTCCCATTGTACAGTGAATCGCTTTCAAAGGGAACAGATAGAGAAACTTGTCTTGGCAGAAGAAACTGATGTAAGAATGGTTGGCCCCATTTTTTTTGCTGGTTCTTGCTTATTTAGCCAGCCTTCAAATAATTAGATAAAGCTGATGATTTCCAAATTTGTATTTCCTTCTGTCCTGAGCTACAGACTCATAACACAATGCCCTACTTGGCAATCTTCCCTTCTGGGTCCAACAGGCTTCAAAAAGCCAACATGTCCCAAACAAAAATTTTGCCTTTACTCTAGAAATAGAGAACAAGTGGAAAGCGATTTTATTTCACCAACAACCCCTGCCTCACCCTTACTTCCCTTATAATCTTCTCAGTCCCATAATGCCTCTGATCATTTTTAGATACTAAAAAGTCTTCTGGTTATTTTTAGACTCCAAATAATCTCATCGTATAATTAATAGATCCAGTCCAATGAAATGCAGAAAACTCCAAACCGTATCTCAAATGAAAGCTTCTCACCTCTTCTAGCTTGTGCTTGGAAGGGGGCGTTGTTTGGTGTGGCTTTTTGTTCCTCTTCTCTCATTTGTTCCCCTCACTCTTGCTAAATGAGGCTTCTGATGGTTTTAGGGCTGGTGGCAGGGAGATAGAGGAGAGTCAGGAGCAGGAAGTGTCTTTTGCCTGGAACTCTCATGATCCGGCACTTCGTACTCTCTGGGCTGGGTGGATTAATGTTTTTTCTTGATGTCTTGGACTCATTTTATGTTTTTGAGTCCATCTTTTATTTCTTCAAACATTTTAGCATGTTTATATGATATCTTTATCAGTATCTTCTATATAAGGAAGTTTTCAGCAGAATAATCGTGTTGTGCATTGAGTCAGAGGACTTCTGATGGATCACTCTTGTAAGTGTTTATAAATTTTGGATTCGAGCTCTTATTACATGGAGTTTTATCTACAGTAAGTCTATGTGGTTGGGGTTGAGCAAACCAGCCTATGCCCAATTCTTAGGTCAGTTTATCAGCTGGGGAGAAGTTCTCTGACAATGCAGGTAGTGTGAACTGCAGATACTGACTCCTCTTAATATGGTTATGAATTGTCAGAGTCTCAAACGGAAGCTCTTTATTTTCACACCAGAACTGAGGACAAGGTAGATGAGAGTCACTGCCTTCTCACTGTTGCAATAGACAGAGCCCATTGAACTGAGTGTGAAGCCCTTCCAGTCTTCTGGGTCTATATTAGGATCTGCCTGGCCTGGGCTTCGTCCATCATCCCTATAGAAGCCTGGATCCCAAGCCTCTGCGTTACTGAAACTGATGCATCTCTAACCCCCAAACCCAGGGCCACCAAAGAGTTAGCGGATGCCTCTAACTTTTCATTTCATCCATGGGGATATCTCTTACTATCTTAGCAGCTATCATTTAAAAGGAGGTTTGCTATATTTAATCTATTATGCCTAGGTATTTATAGTAGATCATTTTTCAGGTATTTTCATCCATTGGAATCTTCCAAATAAATTTTCAATAAGGTTGTTTTTAAGTTTTATCATACTGTTGATAATGATTCCAGTTGAGAGACGTGAGAACACAGAACCAGAAATAATTTATAATATTGGCCAGACTCCTTATTTTAGAGACAAAGAGACTAAGCTCCAGAGCAACTGTGATCTTCCTAAAGCTAAATAATCGGTTACTGATAGAGCCAGGATGACCAGCCAGGTCTCCTGAACTCTAGCACTTTTCTCACCAAAAAGAAATTTCTCCAAATTCTTAAGAAAAGGATTGGGACAGTCTCATACAAGATATAGGACGCTTCTCTCTCTGTATGTGCTTCCATCTGTATTCTTTTATTTTAGTAGGTAAATGCCAGGCCCTGGGAGGAGAAAACCAGAATGTCTACTGTAGCTGAAATCAACACCACAGAAGGTGAGATTTCCAACCATGGTAATTTACACACGGCTCAAGCTCAAAACTCCAGGAACGGTAAAATCATGTGCTGGTGTCTTGTTCTGGATAACACTGAGATCTATGTCACCTTGACTTCTGTTTTGGTGCTATACAACATCCTCTTGCTACCACCAGTGCCAATAATTCTATACAGCTACAAAGGATGTAAAGCAAATTAGATAAAATAATTCATTAAAGACAGTCTCATTATTAAGAAGAAGTGATCATTCCAAAAAATGAAAATTGAAAGAGTATTCAAATATTATCAGTAGCAATTATATGAACTTAAATGAATTTTTCAATCTTCATCACAATGCCATGAGGTAAGCACATTATTATCCCAATTTTCCAGATAAGATACTGAGACTGTAGACACCCAAGAACATACAGCTGTAAGCAGAGCAGCAGAGATTGGAATCTAGGCATCTGACATCAGGATTAAAATACATTTGAAAAAAATCATATATTCCCATAAAAATATTAATGATACCAATAGGAAAGCTTAATATAATCAAAGTACATGGCACATCAGTAACCACCAGCATAATCAATGGCATAGGGAAGCGTTTCCAGTAAATTCAGCTGTGACAAGAATGCCCACTCTCATCACTCCTATTTAACATTTTTTTGAAAATACCAGTGAATAAAATTACCCAAAAGAATAAAATAAGTGTTACAAATGGCAAAGAATAATCAAATATTTTCACTACATGCAAATAATAATTTTTAAGTCAGAACCCAGGAGAAAATCATGAATGAAAATAATAGAAAAAAGAACTCAGTTACGGAAGCAATACAGAGTATTATAAAAATAGTGTGAGGAATAACTGACAATAACTATAAAATTCCACCTTTGCACAGAAAAAGTCTTGAATCCATTAGGAAGCATACCCGTTCTTGGCTAGAAAGAAGCAACACTTCATGTGGCCATCCTCTTGAATCTGCCATATCAACATGATATTGATACACATTCTAACGTAAATTTTTGTGGTTGGAGGTATGTTGCTTAAATGCTGTCAGAGTTAAACCAAAGGTGAAGATCTGTCATTTCCTGAAACTTAGCAAGAGCATCATCACTACACAACAGGAAGCAGTGCTGGTCATTCCCTGTGATTTTGCTCCCTGGCAGCAGCCTGGAAACTGTGTTCCCACATGTCTTGAGGAACATGACCATATATTACCCTTGAGCTTTCTTTGCAGGGACAGTCTATCAACCTCTTCCAGCTGCTGTCAAACTAAATTATCTGGATTCAACCCCAGGGAAAGCCCTAAAGCTGCCATGGAACACTGACAAACTTTGTGCAAGCCTAGATTACAGTATCAAGATGAAGTTTAAATAATTCTCTAATTAAACCCTAGCCTACTCTTCCCCAATGCTTACTCTGGTCAATTCCACCCATTCTTTAAGTCTCTACTTGAGAAACCTCCTCCCTCACCTCTCAAGGGAATGGGTATCCACTAAACACCGATAGGGAAACATCTGAACTCCTTGTATTTCTGATTCAGACACCAATCTTCCTGGCTTAGGCAGGATAAGAAAGAACATTCTGGTTATAAAACTTCCTGTGCCCTCTCATCTCAGGCATTTGTTCAGTCTGACATGGACTGTCCATCATCTTGCTACTCTGTAATTTTACAATTTCCACCCAACAAATGAACTTGAGCATTGCCATCCCAACTATGATGAACAACATGGTCCCACCCAGCCACCCCAATGCCTCCACAGAAAGACCCCCCACTGACTCCCAGGACTATTGGAATGAAACTCTAAAGGAATTTAAAGCAGTGGTAAGTATAATGATACTCTGGATTCTTTTTTTGTCTAAAATGATTTGACTGAATGGACTACCTTTTCAAAAGCTGTGATTCATTTAATCAGAAAATATTTACTGAGAACTTACTATGGGCCAAGAACAACACAAGGGACATAATATATATATAAGGAGATTATATCCTTACTTAGTGTCTATAACTGTAACCTGAGACTAAATTAGAATAAAAGAAACAGATTCTAAAATTAAAGGGACAATATAAAAAACCTGTTGCTGTCGAGTCCATTCTGACTCATAGCAACCTTCTAGGACAGACTAGAACTGCCCCATTGGGTTTCCAAAGAGCAGCTGGTGGATTTGAACTGCCATCCTTTTGGTTAGGAGCTGAATTATACTTATTAAAAATCTACTATGATTCAGGGACCATACAAGAAGCATAATACATATCTAAGATTAGATCCGTATTTAGTGTCTATGAGTGTAACCTAGTACTAATCAGAATAAAAGACACAGATTTTAAAATTTAAGGGGGAATATAGATATAGATGGAGCTCTGGTGGCACAGTGGTTAAGAGCTTAGCTGCTAAATTTCAACATCAACGGGTATAGATACAGATATATAGAGAGACAGTGTCCTGGTCGTGCAATGGTTAAGCACTCAGCTAAGTGAAAGGAGGTTGGTGGTTTGAATCCATGAGCTGCTCCTGCTCCTCGGGAGAAAAGACCTAGCAATGAGCTCCTGTAAAGATTACAGTCTATGAAACCCTACTGGGTAGTTCTACTTGGTCATAGAGGGTTACATCCTCTACAATGAAGAAAATCTCCACAAATGAATGTCATGGGTTTATTTCTACTTTCTCTTCATTTCTTCCACATTTTTTTTTTTTATTACGCTGCATGCATATGATTGTTTCTATTTGTAGGCTTTCTGTACAGGCTCTCTTTTATTTTAAATGGTTGGTTAATTGTGTCAGGTTAAGGGGAAAGAATATGTTGGGCACATATTGAGTTTTTTTTGATGAAATTGGTAGATTGGATGAATTGGAGAAAGGTAAAGGAAGAAGAACTCCTCATTATTTTTTGCCTTTCAGTCCTCACAATAAAGACTGTCAACATTCTAACCAAAGATAAATAAACATGAGATTTTCTGTGTTCTTTAAACCCCTGTGTATGACTGGAGTCCTGAAATCCAGGGAATCATCCTCAGCTCCCTCAACTATGCCTCCTTCTTAGCTCCAATCCCCTACTGGCTATGTGGCTGGAATATTTGGAACCAAGCATGTGGTTGGTGCTGGCTTGTTCATTTCCTCAGTCCTGACCATGTTCATTCCACTGGCAGCTGATACTGGAGTGACATTGCTTATTGTCATTCAGGTTGTCCAAGGCATAGCCCAGGTACTCAGTGGTTTTCTATGTATGAGCGGTTTCAGAATGAGTGCACACATCCAACGATGAATTTTCAGGTTATGGTGACAACAGGTTATCATTCAATTTGAGTCAAATGGGCTCCTCTACGGGAAAGGAATCAACTCACCAACATTGCTGCATCAGGTAATTGATACCCTAATCTTCACTTTATATAGGCTGTCCAATAATACTCTGCACTGGCCTATTAAGAGAACCAAATCTTGTACCCCAATACTCTGTCTCCATATTTTTTGCTATAAACCACTTTTACTCTCTTTCTTGATCATAACCTAATGCTTACTCTGTGTCAAACCTTTGTTTACACATATATATGTTATATATATATATTTGTTTACACATAATAAGCTTTGCACATATTATTTCAATTTAGCCTCAGAACAATCTTATGAGTCAGCTATCTATAACTATTCCCATTTCACATATAAGGAAATTGAAACACAAAGAGATCAATAACTTGACCAAGATGACACAATTACTGAATGAAGGAGCAGGACTTGAACATATATAGTCGGGATTAAAGCTCATACTTGTAATCATTATGGAACTCAGCTTTGTCAAAAGCGTCAGTCAGTAGGAAGCACACAGAGTCCCGAACCTGGACGTCTCACCTAGAAGATGTTTGTATCTTGTGTTCAGGGATAATGCTGGGATCCTTCATCATCTTTGCTGCTGGCGGTCTCCTCTGCCAGATGATAGGATGGCCTTATAACTTCTATATCTTTGGTGAGTTTTGTTTTTCAAATCTCAGAGTTTTATTTGATGATAGAGAGTGCTGGCATGATTTTTTTGGGGGGGAGGAATAGAAGTTAGCCATGGTTAACCAAATCCTGTTAGATATGGATATTCACCTAACCAATGTTGATAATGTTCAGAGTTAACATGTGGTGAGTCTTGCTGACTTCCAAAATGACAATTAAATTCAGTAGCCTGAGTACCTAGCTAGAGTAAGCCTTACGATTTTAAGGGCATTATAACATTATTTCCTGCTTCTAAATTGAACCCACAAGGATACAGTGTAATTTCTTTCATAAGGTGTGGAAAATGTTATCATGGAGGGATTATACTTTAAATTATGTTAATTCATGTAAAACCTTCTTTTAAATATCGCCAATTTTACAATAACCAGAATATCATAGGAACATGACCTAATCAGAGGTAAAATACCATTGTAGATAGTGAAGAATAAACCAGTAGAGACTGCAGGACAGGTCAGACCCACATAACATTCAGAAGTCAGTATAATACCCAGAGAGATGCTGTGGAAATGTCCAAAAGACACACGAAGTATTCTTGAGGTTATATTCTGCTACTTCATAAACTTAAATTTTATTCAGACCTGGTTGGATCCTCCCAGTTGCTCTCAGCTATGGTTTATGTTTGTTTGATTTTGAAACATTTTCTGTTTGAAATCCCCTCTGCAAATTGACTAGTTCTCTCAGATGGTGTGTTAGATTCCTATAACAAAGGTAGACATATTCATCAGAAAAAAAAAGGTAATTACTACAGCACATTCACCTTCAAAGACGCTCCACAGAAACTCCACTGGGCACACGACAAATAGTACCCATGCACTGATAGGCTTACTGTGCTACGGTTTTGAGAAACAGAAAACAGCATATAATAATAATAAATAACTAAATATTTGTTGAATGGATACTAAAATCCCCCAAACACAATAAGTAGCATTGCTAATTTTCATCTCTAGTCCTTCCTTCTGAGGTTTACATTCTTTTATAGCAAAACTGTGTCTTTATAGCCTTATATTTTCAAAATGCAGTGTATTTCCTGGTGTTTGATGACTGCTCAGTGATATTTATGAATAAACATGTGAACCACAAGCCAACAAATGAGACTAGAACTCTTAACTCTTCCTCAAAATCCTAAAAAGGGAATTTGAAGATGAACCATATTTTCACTCAATCATGATAATTTTGAGTTTCTCAACACTGTAATAATATATGTGTTAGGGGAAATTTCTTTGCTGAGGAGTAACTTTAGATCATGTCTAGAAGTTGTCTGGGTAATCATTAGCACACAAAAATGAGCTGCTAACTCTTAGGTGCTTTGAGTAAAGTAAGAGAGCATAATGGAAAAATTCAATGATGAAAAGAATTCTGTGAAAGTATGAAAAGAAGGAGAAATGCCAACTGGTCCTTAAAAACTGAGGTCATTTGCAAACACAGGGAGCAAGAACTTCTAAGAGTCAGCTATAGCGTGAGTAATAGTGGATTTCCAAACTTCCCAAAACTCAGTGGTATAAAACAACAATCATAGTTCTGTGGGATGTCTGAGCAGCTCTGCAACATGTGTCTCTGACATTCTTTGGACAGGTCAACTGCAGTATGTTATCCCCATCAAAATGGCCAAGACCCAAGAGGCCAAGCCAAAAAACTCACAAGGTCTAGGATCCCAATGGTTCTATGTCATTTTCAAAAGCAAGTTACCTGGCTAATGCAAAAGTAAAGAGATGGGGAACTACCTTCCACCTCTGATAGGGCCTTCCAAGATTTTACATGCAAAGAGGGGTAGAGAATTAGGGACAATCATTTTTTTCAAGCAGAGGAATCCTCTCAGGGAAGAGTTAAAATGACAGAACTCCAATGCAGGGCTCACTGGATCCTCAATTTCTAGGTGAAATTGGCTGTGTCTGTTGTCTTCTCTGGTTTCTTCTGGTTTATGATGACCCCGTGAATCATCACTTTTTCAGCACTGGTGAGAAGACATACATCGTTTGTGCACTGGCCCAACAGGTACATTAAGGAACTTCCCTGCCATTTCCCACTATGCCTGTCTGGATGTCTCTGATGTGAAGAGTGCAGTGGAGAGAACTGTCTTTGATGGAGTGGATATTGATATGTGCTTTCTTCCAGGATTGTTCTCCAGGCTGGTCTCTTCCCATTAAGTCTATGCTCAAATCCCTACCACTCTGGGCCATTTTAATCTTGTATTTCTGCAGAAACTGGCCTTTTTGTATCTTGACAACGTACACACCAACATACATCAACTCTGTACTTCGAGTTAACCTCAGAGATGTAAGTTCAGAGAAAGCTCCTTGAGTTCTTCTGCTTGAATGTTTCATTGTCTAATTCTCTGTCTCTCTCATAATCACAGAATCAGGGGCTTGAGCCCAAGGACGCTCATGAGGTAATGCAACTTGAGTTCACATAAATTCTGATTGATCTCAGTGTGATTTGGGGCTTATTGGAACATGGCGTTATTTATGATTCTAGGTCAGCTTGGTTATTTACAGAATGTCATATGTTTAAGGGACCTATGCAAAAATTGTATATTCAATCCCCTCAATATTTGTTAATCAAAGCACTCGGCTGGTAGCATACACATTAAAGGGTTAACAAAACAAATACTGCCTTCAAGAAGCTTGTGACAAATAAACAAGATATGCTGAAAATAAGATATTAGTAATAAGACATAAATTCCCAATTAAGATTCATACTTAAATTGGTAAAAATTTTTTTGTTTTACTTTAAATGAAGGTTTACAGAACAAACTAGCTTCTCATTAAACAGTTAGTACATATATTCTTTTATAACATTGGTTAACAACCCCAAGACATATCACTACTCTCCCTTCCCAACCTTAGGTTCTCTATTACCAGCTTTCCTGTCCCCTCTGCCTTCTAGTCCTTGCCCCTGGGCTGTTGTGCCCTTTTAGTCTCGTTTTGTCCTATGGGTCTGTCTAATCTTTGGATAAAAGGTGACCCTCTGGAGTGGAGCTAAGAGGGTGTCTGGGGGCCATACCCTCGGGGTTTCTCCAGTCTCTGTCGGGCCAGTAAGTCTGATCTTTTTTGAGTTAGAATTTTGTTCTAGATTTTTCTCCAGCTCTGCCCGGGACCTTCTGCTGTGATTCCTGTCAGAACAGTCAGTGGTGGTAGCCAGGCACCATCTAGTTGTACTGGACTCAGTCTGGTGAAGGCTGCGGTAGTTGTAGTCTATTAGTTCTTTGGACTAATTTTTCCCTTGTGTCTTTAGTTTTCTTCATTTTCCCTTGTTCCTGAAGGGGTGAGACCAGTGGAGTATCTTACATGGATGCTCATAGGCTTTTAAGACCCCAGATGCTACTCACCAAAGTAGAATGTAGAACATTTTCTTTATAAACTATGATATACTAATTGAGTTGGATGTCTCCTGAGATCATGGTCCCCACAGCCCTCAGCCCAGTAATTTGGTCCTTAAGGGATTTTGGATTTCTCCGTGGAGCTTCCATGACCTTACCCTGAACAAGATGTGCTGGCTTCCCCAGTATTGTGTACTGTCTTACACTTCCGCAAAGTTACCACTTATCTATTGTCTATTTAGTGTTTTTCCACCCTCAACCCTCCCCTCCCTCGTAACCATCAAAGATTGTTTCTTTTTGTGTGTAAACCTTTTCATGAGTTTTTTATACTAGTGGTCTCATACAATATTTGTCCTTTTGTGATTGACTTATTTCACTCAGCATAATGCCCTCCAGATTCATCCCCGTTGTGAGATGCTTCACAGGTTCATCATTGTTCTTTATCATTTCGTAGTATTCCATTGTGTGTATGTACCACAGTTTTTTTAACCATTCATCTGTTGATGGGCATCTAGGTTGTTTCCATCTTTTTACTATTGTGAGCAATGCTGCAGTGAACATGGGTGGGCGTGTGTCTATTCGTGTGACAGCTCTTATTTCTCTAGGGTATATTCCTAGGAGTGGGACTGCTGGATCATATGGTATTTCTATTTCTAGCTTTCTAAGGAAGTGCCATACCATTTTCCAAAAATGGTTGCAACATTTTGCATTCCCACCAGTAGGACATAAGAGTTCTAATCTCCCCGCAGCCTCTCCAACATTTGTTATTTTCTGTTTTTTGTTTTTTGTTTTTTTTTTTTTTGATTCGTGCCGGTAATGCTGGGGTGAGATGGTATCTCATTGTGGTTTT